CTGCTTTTTCCCATCCTAGTACAGAAGCTGGGTCCGGCTCAGGGGAGCTGATGACATAGTAGAAACACCTGGAAGTAGCCATTGATTAAAAACAGAGTTTTGATTTGCAGGTAGACTTGGTGGTTAAGAAAAGCAAAGCAGCAAACTCACCTTTATTGCATGCTTCATATTTTTTTTATCTCAGTTCTGTTTTTCTAAAGATATTAATTCCTATTTTGTTAAAAACTATTCTTACTTTTAGTTGTATTTGATGGCACAACTAACATTGCTTTAAAAAATAAGAATATCCTGCAAAGTATTATCCTGGTTCTAAGCTGGGATGTTGCTGTTAATAAAATATGTCCTTTCTTCCAGTGCTTAGTCCTGTTTCTCTCCTAGACATAGCTGTGGGCTTAGTTTTTACTCCATGTTCTTTCTTTCACCCTAATGGGAAATGAAACCTTCTCATCTGCTGAACTGTTTTGTTCCTAAACGAGCCTCCGATGGGGCAGGTTTACCGTTATCCATCACGGCTTCTATGTCTGATTCTGTCTCCTTAAAGCCCCGGTTAGCCTCAGCAGAAGGATGCTCACACCGTGCTTTAAAATTCATCTGCTTGTATGACACGATTCATTGATGAATGTCATTAAAACTGAGAACAGGCTATTTCTCATACTTTTGTTTATGAACTGTCTCTATCAAATCCTTTGTAAGGAAACCCTCTGAATGATAAAAAGATATTATTTTATTGGCAGTAAAACTACAGAAATCCAAATGCAGCTCGTTTGGTTGCCCTTGGTTGCAGTTATTGATCTGCACAAAAGTTAACATCTACTATAGGCGCTGTGAAAATAATAAAACGTGGAATTGGTCTAAATGAGAAAAACAGCCTCTGAGCTTTTTAAAGTCGAGGGTCTGAATGATTCATCCCGATTATTTATCAAAGGATGAATGTTGTTGGAAGACATGATGCAATACTGTGATAGCATAATGTGTAAATCCTGAGTTATTCAACAGAACAGGCAGAAATCTTTCCCATAATGACCTTTTTTACTGAAGACATTTTGACACCCATCCAGGAGTCCAACAGAGGTGATGAAGGCTCCTGGACGGGTGTCTGAAGGTATTTTAGAAAACGGAGTGAAGTCCTGATTTAATGCTGTTTGGTGGTTATGATGGAGATATAAGAACATGAAGCTTTTTGCTCCCAATCAGAAACAAGCAGCGTTTATTTCCTGCACTATAAGCCGACCTTAGAAGGTCTTTTTTGGACAAATTGCTTCCTTCTGTTTGCAAACCTGCAACCTGACAAAAACAACATGATGAAATCTAGATTTCTAATCTCTGCAACCTTTAGAGATTAATAACAATTTATCAGCCCATTTATTCATCTATTCGTCTTTTATGTTGTAAGAAATGTTTTGCATCTTTGATTACATAAAGTAGGGATGGATATCTTTAAAAGCAAGCCACATTATAAAAAAAATAAAATTAGTTTATGCTGCATAATGAGGGTTTATTGGAAAAATAAAGTCTACTTTGTCAAAGCTTGGACCAACGTTAGGACTGATATGAATTATTTTGAAATAAAGTCTCTATTCTGTATTCAGCGCAGTAACGCAGGGCAAAGCCTGCTTTGTTGATGTTTCTTTGTTGGCTTATCAGAGTTTGTGTTTAATTGGATTAGAGAAATTACCTTCAGAAGTTAATCCTCTACAGTAAGTGACTTCATGGATAACTGAGTCACTTTCATTCACTTCCTATTAGTAATGAGTCACCAAGCATAAGTAAGAAGTGGGAAGAGCTAAAAGAGATTTGACAGTAAATTCAATTTTTGACAAAAGGTTTCTCTCCCAGAAATGCAGAGTGTAGGAAAATGTATTTAAAAGAACAATCAGTGCAGCATGTGTCCCATCAAATCCACCTTCTCTGCAAAGACTTCTGTGCTTAATTGAGCGAGACGACAAAAGTCCTTAGTTGTTGGGAGCATAATCGAATTATCCTGAAGGGTTGTTGTGTGTTTGTCCAGAGCTTTGTGACAGCGGCCGCCGAGACGAGTCACAAGCGCTTACAGAATAATTCATGCTGAAGCGCCAGACAGAAACATCATCTAATACGGAGCTCAGAGCATGATGGATGTGAAAGCTGGACCCTTCAACGCTTCGTACCCGGCTCTGGAGCTGAACACAGAATGCTGCTCAACAAGTCTTAAACACTAATAAGCTCTGGATGAAACGGTTTCTAAAACATCCTAAAAAAGGAGTTTTTTCTTATTTATTAAAACTAGGAAGATCAATCTGCTACTTGGCCTCCTGCACACAACCTGAGCCGGTCACAGCGTTTAAACCTGCAAGCTTTCTCTCCCCATCTTTTCCTGAGGATTGATGCTATAAAAGCTCTTTGGTTCAGATATGCAAAAAAAAAAGACAGAAGAAAGAAGAAGATTCCTAATCCTCCTATTTCCCTGAAATTTGTGTTATTGGCACCTTTAACCGCCACCTTGCTGCAAATCAAGCTTAAAGCCTCCTTCAAATTATTGGCTCTCCTTTTCAATTTGGCATCAAACCAAAATGGCTTGCAGCAAAGTAATGCTGCGGGCTCTGGTTCTACAGCTAATTTCCTGATGTTTATGTCTGTAGACATTCATTAAAATTCAGTCAGTCCAAGGATATAAGTTAAGTGCCTTCAGATAGACACTGGCTGCCAATTAAACTAATTCAGGGGCCACAAATGGTGGAACATGACATGAAAACTGATGGATGTTCACTTTTTTACCATTATCATTGATTCACTTTTAGATGGCTGAAAGAAAAGCATTACATAAAACGAATGCTGTCAGATCAGATAATGGGAAAAAGGTAAATTATGTAAATTGTGACAGGCCTGCGTACGCAGTTCCTGCTTCAAAACAGAGAGGATGTTCAGTAGTATTTGTTCACACAGCTTAAATGTCTGCACAAGTGTTTTATTTTTCACCTTGAAGGAAATCTCGTACTGCTCCCCTCCCCAGATCTCCAGACCAGTGTCATATCCCCCCAGCTCCCAGAACCACTTTCTGTCCACAGCAAACAGCCCCCCCGCCATCACAGGAGACCTGCAAGATAAGACAGCGAGCGGTGAGATCATCCGCAGAAGGAATAAACTAATTTAAATACATAAGAATGTAGAATAACAGCAGAGAGAGAAAGTTAGAGTTTTCAATCTTATTTAGGAGCTTTTTCCACATATAAGTCAGTTACTCTAAACTTGCTAAATGTTTGAATATTAATTTTAATTATGCAAATAAAAAAACAGACACAGGAAAGTCAACCTCTTGGAAAGGAACATTAACCAAAGCTAATTTATTTAGCAAACCTAAACAGCACAACACCATCTTTATTTCAAATTGCTATTGATTTATTGATCCATAAAGGGAAGTCAGGCATCAATCATCCAAGAAAACCTCTGAAGCCTTTAGTCAGTCAGTCAGTCAGTCAGTCAGTCAGTCAGTCAGTCAGTCAGTATCTTTTACCGTCTAAATTTCCTTCATATTAATATCTGTCAGCTTCTGTTCAGCTAACCTGGAGGTTTTACCATCCAGCATCTTCCCCAGAGTCATGAAGTGACTCACCATCGCTGGCTGCAGTGGGAACCAGTGAGCGTGTTCAATAGAGCGAGTCGAAGCATTGCATTGTGGGCCTGCTTTGCAGACTGTTAGCCGTTGCTCACTGGAGGGAAATAAACACACTTCACCTCCCAGAGTTTAGTAGAAACAGGATTTCTTTGGGGGAGATTGCGATTATGTTTCATGAGGCAGAATAATTTAACCGCGAGCTAAAGGATGAGTAACGTCAACATCTTTAGCGACGCTGCAAAGAAAACCAGGCTAATATTACCTTCAGCAAATTAACCAGACAGAATAATGTAAACTAGCAAAACGTCCCACTGATTGGAAATCTCTATAAATCAGTTCTTTATTCTCCAGGTGTTGTTTTATATTGTTAAAACACTTTATAGTGTTTTATTTGTTTATTATTTTTTAACTCTTCACTATTACTTTATTCTTAAACATTTTTCTATGGTCCACATTTGTGGACTATTATCTTTTTGCTGCTGGAAACACCAGAATTTCTCCATAGTTGGACAATAAAGAGATTTTCTATTCTATTCTATTCTATTCTATTCTATTCTATTCTATTCTATTCTATTCTATTCTATTCTATTCTAAGACTTCAGTTAAAGGTGCAGTGTGTAACAAAATATATTTTTGTGGCTAAAATCAAGTCCTAGTTTAATAATTACTACATATGTCTAATAAAGTCTCATAAATATCAGTGATTGGTTCGAGGCTGGAGTTATCAGGGGGCGGGGCATCCAGTGGGAGGGGCCATCAGCATTTCTGATCAGAGAAAAAGGGTCAAACTTTGTTTTTTATCCGTATCTGAAAACTTTTCATCAGTGGAGGAGTTTAAATCAAGCAAACAACCGATGGATGATTCTGCTTTTTATTGCAGGAAGGACCTTAAATAGTCTTTGAATGATGAGATGCAAGAAAAACAAATTAATAAAAAACTAAAACGGTGCAGTTTTTACTAAACAGAAACATCTTATGAGGGAGGTGATCTTCTGAACGGACGGGGGGGGAGGCTCTCTGCTGGAGGGGTCCGTTCCTTCAATAAGACAGTGAAGTTTATGTTAAATTGAAGTTTATGTTAAATTGCAGAGGATGATTCCCTCCATCCAGAAAGAGCAGAATGTCTCTTATCAGCTTCCGTAGGAGGCTGACAGCGAGGCCCCAGTCTGAGGTGGATCATTCATTTCATGCAACACTAAGGCTGGTTAATAATCACAAACCAGGTGGTCTGCGTGTGTGAACACAGATATGCCCCGCCCCCTCCGCAGACACTCTGCTGCACCTGTCCCACATTGCAGGTGAGCGCAGACAGGAGGCCTCTGATTGGTCAGATCTACATCCGCTCTACTCTATGCGTATTTCCTGTTTGGTTCCTTACCGGCTTGTTTTGTTTGTCTGGCCGCCATTGTGGAAAACGACTGGTGAAGATGGAGCAGCTAGCAGAGCGAGGAGCGTGAGAACGCTCGGACCCTTTCTCCACCTGGATCCCCGCTCTTTTTGGCCCTCATGTCTCTCCGTTGTCGGACAGACTTGCCCCCACTACCTCACCGCCTCGGCCGCATCTAGACCCACAGCTAGTTCCTGATTGGCCCGTTGTGGCGTGCAATAACAGCGCAGACCACGCTGCAATATTGGGCAGAAATCAACGATATCTGCGACCAGCTCTGAAAATAAATCCCTGTTAGCAGTTTATTTCTTTTCTCCTATTTAATAAAGAACAGCTAATCTGATTTTGCAGCCGTTAAAATCCTAAAACTGAGCTGATCTTAATCCAGCTTTATCTCTTTCCTTTCTTAAATATTAACTTTATTGAATTGGGACATGAGTCCAAGTTTAGTTAAACAGATATGAAAACATGAGTTGGTAAGACAATGAAAAAAACTAAATCCTTTAAAGTAAAGGCCATTAAGATTTAAGAGTACTAATTCAAGATGCAAATACATGATGTAGGTTAGAGTAAAATAAATTAACTAAAATAAACTATTGGCTATTTAGTTGTTCTTATTTTTCTTATATATATATAAGATATTTGTTCTGCTAAAACAGAGAAAAGACAGAAACGGGATATGGGGGGAAAAAGACTGCAAAAACTGATGATAATAAAAAGGAAACAATAAGTTAATCTACTGCCACTAAATAATGCTACTAACAATAATAACAACAATGACCGTAATAAAAATAATAATTATTATTATTAATCATAATAATGACAATTAATGAATTACACAAAATCATGCACTGATAGCAGATTCATTAAATGATCATAAAAGTTTTAAATCCTATGAATATTACATGTAATCACAGTGCAACAGCAGAATATGAATGGATGATAAAACGTTACGATTAAAACTATAAAGGTTTAAACTATGAGGCTTTAAACGCAGCAAAGAGCTCAGCTCAGCTTTTCCATCAAACTCATAGTTTGATACATTTATGAGTTAAACATTTAATTCTTATTACAAACAGATTCATGACAATTCAGGAAAAAATATGAAATCCAGGAGAATAAAACTACACACCCACACATATATATATATATATATATATATATATATATATATATATATATATATATATATTTGTAATAATGAATTAAATGAAGTAAATCTTGCCATCCAGCCCAGAAACATCTAATAACATAATTTCCATCTGTTAGAGAATAATGAGCAAACAAAGCGCCTGTAACTGTATTTCTCTTAATGTAAAATGCTAATGAGTTGACCTCCTGTCACCTCGCTCAGCGCCCATCGTCTGTTGCTAGGCGACGGCTCTGTGTAAAGCTGCATGGGGCTAATGGTCAAAGATTATACAAACTGAATTTAAGCTATTTTTTTCAAGTTAAAATACTCACAAGGACACAGTTTATATTGTAAAATATTTCTCCATGAAAACTTTCTTACTTACTAATATTTAATTGTTACTTCAACCAGAATCGTTCCAAACACCGTTTACTCAATAAATAAAAGCGTATAACAAGGGAAAGAGTTTATATTTAATAAAATAAGTTTATCCATTTGGTAAATCTTGGTGAAGATTCGTCCTCCTCAGAGTGTCTCATTCTAAAATAACTAAATAAAACTTGGGTTTGTTTTTGTTCGTTTTTTTAAACCTTGGACTTCACCATTTTTTTTGCCTTTTGAATTGAAAAAGTTTCCTGATGTCTTCAAACCTGGAAACAAAGTCCAGAGGATTGATTTTAACTTTTTTGGATTCATTTGGAAGCAGAAATATTTGAACTGAAACATTTAGACAGAATGAAATAGTATTAGTTAAAAAAAAAAGTCCTCAATGCAGGAAAATAGAAATATAACTAGAGAGCATAAAATAAAAGGAGGATTATCAGCATGAGTGACACGATATAATGATTATTTTTATAATGTTTTTATATAAACAGCAGCAGGCGTTGTTTAGAACCACGTATTAAAAGGTGGGATGGTTTGTGTGTCGATGGACAGAAAGAATGATTCATATAAACCTGATTTATTGCTTTTGTCCCTCAGTTTTTCTTGACGTTGTTCCATTTAAATCACAGTAATGTGTTAAACTGAATTATGCTCCTAGCTTGGTTTGCTGAATCGGATCAAACTGGTTCAATGCAGGTAAGAAAAACTGGATCTTAAAACTTGTATTTTCCTGTCAGTGGGACGCTGGCTGCTTCCAGATGGAGAAGGACTGACTGACCAGACTAAGACTGAGATTAAATCAAGATTTGGGGCTTTACTACATTTGGCCAATTTTAAATGCTTTAATTTAAATGTTTTTTTTTTTAGATGAAGCAAAATCTAAGTCAATAGGTCATTTTAATTCCTGCTGCCAATTCAGGATTAATTAGAAACGCTGTGGCTTTTATTCCACATTCCATATTTAGTTTACTGACCTGGAAGAAGACGAGATGCTTTGATTTGTTTCCCCAGAAATGACAAGAAAAGGAGAAAAAGGACCAAGAGGTGCTTCCATCGACCAAACAGTCAATGACAGACAAGAAGATGATAAAATCGTTCATTAAACAAACACTTTTTCCCTCTGAGCCTCATTTTCTGCTGCAGCAACGTCAATCAGAGAGAAAATGAAATCTTTGCGACTCAAATTGAATTTGCACTGATGAAGGTCATTTGATTGAGCAAGAAGAGCAGATTAATTGATTGGGATTGTTCTGCACCTCATTTCTTTCTCCTCCTGCTGCACAGACCCTCTGCCTGATCAGACCTCCTGTATTTCTAAACAGTCTCTGATTTATAAACACAGACGGTCTCTGGAACGGAGCATCTGGCATCAGAAGCAGAAAACTGCAAACTTTACTTTATTTACTCTGTTTCCATCGTTCAAAGGGAAACTGTGGCGAGGAACGATGCCGTGCAAACGGATGTGCCAAAACCAAAAAAAACATATTCTAAAGTGCTATATTTTGTTTAATAGTTAAAAAAGTTTACTAAATATAAACTAGTTGACAGAGTAACAGCAATAAACAGTATATTTTATGTCATTTATAAAGTTTTATAGAGTTATGTTGATTAATCTGAGGGATGAGGTCCCTCCTCTGCTTCCTGGGTCTATTTTTTTATTTTTATTGGGATTATTTTAACATAACTGATCATTATCTGAACTGATTAAATTATTTTAAAAAGTTTATTATTGAATTAATTATCAAATTTAATTATTAAATACTTAACAAACTTCCCTCTGAGGGCGTGAGGATGTCAAAAAGTTTACATCATCTAAACAGATTTTAAAAAGTAAAAAAGAATCAAAAGAAGCGATCTAACTAAAGTTAAAACATAATCACAGCTGCGCAGCTTTAATGTTCTGTGGCTGAATTAACCCTTTAAAACCCACCAGTGGAACTTTAGTGGGGGGTAATAATTCAGAATGCATAAAATGCAGAATGCTTAACATTTTTAAGTTCCAAACCCCGCAGCTCTGGAACTGTTACAGATAGAGGTCTGGAATTTTCTGCATCTGTGGTTGAGATGATGTAGAACAAATTTAATACAATAAAACCTGCTATTTTTTTAAAGAATGTTTTTATTACTGCTGTTCAATAAAGACCTATCATTTCAGAGAATAAAAAAACAAAAACTTTGAGTCATGTTTAAACTGATGCAGGTTGGTCTGTGTTCTACTCACTAAATTTTAATTTATATATTAGTAAAGTAGAGGATGTTCGCTTTCAAATGATGTATTGCACATATAATCTGGGCTTATGGTTCCTAAATTATTGGCTTTTCCATTTGGGTTTGCAGAATAGACGAGGATTACCCAAAATGAGGTGGATGTTAAGAGGTTAATTAAAAACAAAAATGTGACATCATGGTTTTATTTTTAGGTCTATAAATCTTGGTCGCGGTGAAACTACCAAAAAAAAACTTCTGTAAATTCCAACTAAAACTTTTGAGAAACCAAAAAAACGACTCAGTGAAGAAAAACATAATTTTACATATTTGCATTTTTCTAATTAGTCCAAGTTATAAAAGATCCATAAAATATATTTAAAAACAAAATCCGGACTTTGAAGATGTTACTTTGATCTTTGTGTGCAGAAATGTAAAGAAAACAGTTTAAGAATCTAAGTTCAATGTTCTGAGCTTCTTCCTGAGTTACTGACCATAGATGCAGCAAATATTTAAAAAGCAGCAGATTTTCATTAAACATGAAACCAGAAAATTAACGTTTATATCCTTTATTAAAAATCAAAGAAAATGTAAAAACTCTGAAAAGGATGTGAGCTTCAGGACAGAAATAACTGACTATTATCTGTCCCACTGATAAATGCACTCTTAGCACAAGAGGAAAGATGTTTGAAAGCGTCTGAAATGACTCTGCTCACTCAAAGGGCTCACTGGGGTCGTCCTTCTGCAGCTCTGCAGGGATGGGGATCCGTTTGTAGTACATTTCCCAGTCGAAAGCCCCTCGCATGGCATCGCCCGCCTGCGTTTCATAGCCAAAGTTGTCGTGGTCAATGACGTCGATCATCGGGCAAACGATGGTCTTCCTGTTCTGGGCGATTCGGTCTAAAGAGGCATAAAAAAAGCAGCATTAAAAGCAATAGCCTGACTTTTTGCTTTTAGAGATTTCTTTCCTCAGACTGTAAATGTCTGGGAGTTTCTAGAAAGTCGTCTCTTCTGTCACAAACACCTAAATATAATAAAAACTATTAAACTAATCTTAGAATAATCAATTATTTCAGATAGAAAAACACCTTTTGGTTCCTTTATTTTATTGCAGCAGACATAGACTTTATCAAATAGAAACAGCTTTTCCTCTGAGTGTATCTGAGCAGGGGAGTAAAAACCTTTAGAAACTAGAAGTAGGTCCATTCGCCTTCTAATGAAGAACTCAGGATTCCCACAGCTTGGGAAAAAATCCTGGCAAATGAAAGATGGATGAAGCCTTGAGGTATGGATTGTGAAACTGATGTGACAGAGTCTAAAACTTTCATCCTTTTTCACTAAAACACTCAGAATCTCTAAACAGAGTCGCTCTATTTTCACCTCTTCTTCAGCTCAGACTTTATAGACAAAATTAAAGCACTTTTTCAAAATAGTGACTATTAAACAATCAAAAGAACGGATTTTATTTTAGCAACAGGAAAAAAGCGTTTATTGCAAAATGAACCAGATGTTTTTTTAACCATAAATAACATCAGAAAGCAGAAATATCAGCGAGCTGCACTGATGGCTGTAATATGAGAATAAAAAGATATAAAAGCTTCACTCAGATTCTTTAAAGATGTGGAGAGAAGATCATTTCCAGCAGTGAATAACACAGAGTAGCTGTTCTCTGGCTGATTGTCTCATCATTGCAGAGGAATCATCTTTTCTTCTGCAGAAGCAACTGAATGTGTTTTAATCAGGCGTCTTATTGCAGCAGCCCGAGACCAAAAAGCAGCACTCAGTCACATGGGAGCAGCTTTCCATAAAAACAACATTTATACTCATCAAGTCTGTTTGGTGCGACATTCTTTCCGTTATAAAGCAAGTGAAAAATGAGGTGTAACACAGGTGAACCACAGTCGCTCCACTGAGCAGACATGGAGAGAACAGAAACCAGGAAACGGAGGAAAACTGAGGCTCTGCTGCATCCAGCGCCTCAGTCAGACTTTTTATTTCTAATTTTGGAACAGACAGACGATGCATCCTGAAAAGATGAAGGAGCATAGCTGCAGCAGCGCTGCCAAGCAACAGACAGTAGATCAGGTATGAATTCAGCGCTTCATTCGCCGCCACGGCGGCTCCACGGCGAAGCTCCTCTTCTTCATCTGAACTAGTTTGCATTCATAGCAGAAGCAAAGCTAGAGGAGAAGCAGCCTGGATGCTCCTCTGCGCCTCTTTCAGGATGTTTACCCGCCCCGTCCTATTGGGATGAGGCCCAGGGGGGCGTTCACCAAACACTGGGGGTTTATGTCTACTGGCTGCCTTCTGCAGAACGCAGGCTCCCAGGGAGACGGTGGAGGGACAGGGAGGAAGATGGCTACTACTGAGACCCACAGAGAGACAACTGGCTGAAGAGAGAAAGTTCCACCAACATATTTAGTCTGTAGATAAATCAGCCAACATCTATACAGTATAATTAGATAAGAACATTAATAATAGTATAGAGATAAAGACCAAACTAGAAGACAAATAAATCAGTACAAATGTCCACCTGTTAGAACATCAATAAATGCAAAATAAAATGATGCAACTTCAAAGAAAACAAACCTTTAACAGAAAGAAACGCATCATTCATTTATCTCTCAGCAGAAACAATGTTTATAAAATGAGACAACGTTCTCATTTAAAGCGATTGGTTGATCATTTTTCCGGATCTTTCAGTAAATTCAGATAAATGACGTTTTGCTCACCAAGCATAGGAGGCAGCCAGTTGACATTAGCCTCACAGTGAGAGTCCAGGAAGGTGATGACCTCGCCTACGGCGGCGGCGGCTCCCAGCAGCCGAGTCCTGATCAGCCCCTCCCTCTTCTTGGTCCTCAGGATGCGAACCTTTGGCAGCCGTACCATGTATTCCTCCAACGCCACTTTAAGGTGCTCTGAAAGGAAAACACAATGACTTAGATTACAGCTTATTGATGCCAAGTGACAAAAACAACTTAAATAACTTTCATTCCAAATAAAAGTTAAAATCAATCCTCTGGAATTTGTTTCCAAGTTTGAAGACGTTTCTCTTCCATCCAGGAAGATTTTTCAATTCCAAATGTCAGAAATAGCGTTTAGTTCCAGGTTTTATCCAGCAGCCCAACAAAGCCTGGTTTTAGTTTAGAAAACATGCAAATAGAAACGGATGAACGGGTCCCCCCCTTTGGAATGGGGGTCGTTTGGCTTCTTTGTTAGCCTGCAACGCCCCATACCTGTCTATGTCTCTGAAAGGGGGGGAGGGGTCGTTAGAGGGAATAGTTGGCCTGGATGAACAGGTCAGGTCTTCTGTTCTCTTGTAAGGGGCTGGAGCTGCGATGATAGCGGGAAGGAATCAACTCTATCGCTGCATTGGAGGTTTCTGAAAGCTGAAACCTGAGCCCCCCCCCCCTCTGTTTAAGGTTGGTTTTTCTTTCTCAGCACAGACGGCTTCCTTCACGCCCTAAATCGCCGTCCTTTAACATGCCTTCACCAAGCAGGATCAGAAGGAAACCATTAGCGTTCTGATGAAGCAGTAGATCTTTGCCACGAGCTGCAGAACAAGATGTTCTCCTTCAGGCTGAAACATCATAACACCATCAGCCTAAAGGACAAACCGACTTCTCTCACGTTTCAGCAATTTGTTTCTTTACTGCAGTCATTACACCAAATTTCCCCCTCAAGGGTCAGAGTCCGACTGTGAGCGATAAAATAAAGGACTAAATCAACCTCGTCTAACATGTGAAGCTATAAAGCTGCTGGCAGAAATCAGGATCCCACCAGAAATGAGGAGAGTCATCATCTCAGCAGAATGCACCGCAGGGGGAAGGCTGCTCCCGCAGATAACCTCTTTTCTTTATTTAACACAACATGATCCAAAGGTTTATTTAAGTCTGACCTGAAGGTCTGATGGATGATTTCCATCTTTTCCCTCCTTAAAAACCTGCTAAAACTTTAAGGAAACTTTCTGCTGTTCAAACAGCAAATCTGCTGAAACCTCACAGAAGATCAAAGTAATAAAAAACTGCATCAATCAAACAAAAAGCAGAAATGCACTTTTCATTTCTTCAGTGCTGTGTGTCTGTGACAGGTCACTGCGGCGGCCGTCGAGTCATTCTGACAGGTCAATAGAAAGATGAAGTGAAATCTAAAGACGCGTTTCTATTCGCCATCTGACTGCTGTCATGGCTGCCGTTCAGACCCGGATCCATCAATCCGTCCGTCAGCCATCTGACTCCATCCATTATTCGCTTCAGTTTCTATTCCAAACATCCTGCTGAAATTAATGCGCCTTAAATTCTGCTTTATTTGGCAAAAGTCTGGAAGAGACAGCATGTGGAAAAAGCCAGGAATGCTTTCTGACAAACAGATTGGTTCATCATAGATAAACACAAAGCAGATGCAACTAAAGGAGAAAAAAAAACACTTCTCCCCACCTGAAAAATAATGCTGAGTCAGCAGTGTCCTATAATCCATCTGTTTATTGGAATAAACTGTTTATTTTCGTCCAAAGCTGCTCTGGATGCTTCATCATCTTCCCTTCATCTAACAGTTAAACAGCCTGTAAAATAATTCACTCTTATTGTTTTATTTCTATATTCTGATCATCTAAAGAATAAATCTGTTGGTTATTTTGCTCCTTCATCCTCTTCCTCACTCTGTTTTACACCAAATCTGATTTCTCTGTTTTTGTTCTGAACAAAAACTTTGATTATTTTAAATTCAGGATTAATTCCAGTTTTCCTTGATGCAGTTTAAACATTTTAATTTGTTTTCTAGTTGAAGGGAAAATGATTTCGCCTTCTGATTAAACGCTTCCTGAATCCCTGGTTAGGAGTTAGTTTCATAGTTTGAACGACGCTGCGGCGTCATCCTGCAGCTTATGACCAACAGCAGCTGGAAAGAGTCAGAAAACCCAGAAACATGAAGAATCACTGATTTATAAAATATCTGCCTGTTTAGAAATAAACGTTAAACAGACGAGCTGCTTGCTGGGAGATTATGAAAAAATACCTCATTTAAAGTTTAGCCCTTTTATAATATTTCCTACATGGGGTTTAAAAGTGAGAGAGTCTAAGATCATATTATATCTGTGAACAGCTTGATTTCATTTACAGCCTGAGGGAAACTATCCAGACCCCCCCATCGCCATCATGAGGGCTTATAGTGAACTTGGCTCTGTTGGGGTTTCCTTCTCTTCCAAAGGGAACTGTTTGTTTCCATATCCGACCAAATGTTTGCTCAGGATCAGATCAAATCCAGGCTGACTGGAATAATAAGGAGAAACCAGCCAAACCTCCCAATCATTGC